AAGGCTTTAAAATATCAGAGACACTGATAGCATCAATTTACACCATTCTAATTTTCAGTAGCACACAGGGCCTCAGTTTTTTGTCCCATCAGAATGTCTGATTGAAAATTAAAAGGTTGGGAATCAATGTCCCCCTTGTCAGTGATGCAGGTAAGAGGGGCTGACATGAAAAAAGTGTCTAGTTGTTCAGATGGGACAATAAACCGAGGCCCTGTGTGCTACAGGTTGTGCACATTAAAGATCCCTCAACAGTTGGAAATCGAAAAAGAGCAGGCTGATGCGGCTGTCCTGGCAAAATTTCCCTCATTGCACGTTCCATGGCGTTACCCGTCTTCATTAGCCCACATGGTGCAGAAGAGTAGGACGTAAAACTCTATTCATTTCATTTCGATACCAAAAGTGTCAACAATTGTGACAGGCTCTATTTCTCCTCAGTGTAAGAGAAATTGTGATGCCTGTGCCAGTGCTTCTGAGTCAGCCTGGTGTCGACTTTCACCCCCTAATACCTAACCCTTATCTTCCTCAAGGTAAGAGATATTTTGATGCCTGTGCCAGTGCTTTCAAAAGTCTGCAGGGTGTTGGCTTTCACCCTCTAATACCTTACACTTATCTTCCTCAAGGTAAGAGATATTTTGATGCCTGTGCCAGTGCTTTCAAAAGTCTGCAAGGTGTTGGCTTTCACCCTCTAATACCTTACACTTATCTTCCTCAAGGTAAGAGATATTCTGATGCCTGTGCCAGTGCTTTCAAAAGTCTGCAAGGTGTCGGCTTTCACCCTCTAATACCTTACACTTATCTTCCTCAAGGTAAGAGATATTCTGATGCCTGTGCCAGTGCTTTCAAAAGTCAGCCTGGTGTCGGCTTTCACCCTCTAATACCTAACCCTTATCTTCCTCAAGGTAAGAGATATTTTGATGCCTGTGTCAGTGCTTTCAAAAGTCTGCAAGGTGTTGGCTTTCACCCTCTAATACCTAACACTTATCCTCCTCAAGGTAAGAAAAATTCTGATGCCTGTGCCAGTGCTTTCATGAGTCTTTCACCCCTTTATACCAAAAATGTCAACAATTCTGACTAACCTTTTTGTTTTCTCTTTCAGTATGTCAGGGAGAAATCAACGAACTTACAGCGAGAGGCGACTCGAAATTCCGTTACAAGAATTTAAGAGACAGGTACACAAACTGTACTTATATCCAAGGAAGTTTAGAAATCGTGTTTTTGGAAAAAGTTGATTCTGTGACCAAATATGATTTAAGTTTTTTGAGAAGTATAAAGGAAGTGACTGGCTACGTGTTAATTCTCAGTGTTTTTGCCGATTACGTGCCGTTAGAAAATTTACGGATTATTCGCGGGAGAACGTTATATCATGATAAATATAGTTTATATGTGGCGTTAAATTCTCATCCGACGGCAGAACCTGGATTACGAGAATTACGTTTCAATTCTTTATCAGGTAAGTTTTAGTATATTATATTGATATTGAACTTATTACCTTGCCCATTTTAAAAAGGGAACAGGGTGATTTGATTCTGTAAGCTTTCGACACCCAACAACAACCCCCCCTTTAGCTAGATTTGATAACATTTTATATTGATACCGAACTTGTTGCCATGCCCATTTTAAAAAGGGATCAGGGTGATTTGATCCTGTAAGCATGCAACATCCAACAAACCCCCCCCCCTCCCCCCATTTTTAGTTCGATTTGATAACATTTCATATTGATACAAAACTTGTTACCATTTCCACTTTAAAAAGGTATCAGGGTAGTGTATCATAAAGTTTGATTCTGTAAGCATGCAACACCCATTTCATTTTCAGAAAGTTAATATTCTGTATTTTATATTTTTCAGAAATTTACGAGGAAAGG